TCATAATGTAGTAGCGTGTAATCTGCGAGGTCGGTTCACCGGTTCTGTTTAGTTTCTTGGTTGCTACTACTACTACTACTGCTGCTGCTGCTGCTGCTACTACTACTACTACTACTACTACTGCTACTACTACTGACTACTGGCTACTGACTACTGCCTACTCCTCCTTCTACCGCTGCTCTCCTGCTCCTCCTCCTCTTTACTCTTGCTGCTGCTTCTGCTTCTAGCAATATGACTGGCATTCTACTTACAATCATGATGCTACGGGAGCCATGCCACCCGCTGACGACCACGACGAGCAACATGGGTGATGCAAGAATCGCAGTCACAATGACCTTCTATGCCCTGCTTTAACTTCCTTACAGTCACTATTGTCCAATCATCCTACCGAGACTGATCATAGATATACCTGACAGAACTGTTCGCAGACGTATTCGAAGTCATAATACTCTGCATAGCGAAGGCCACCATCATCTTGATTGACTAGCGGCACCAGAACAGAACCGCCGGCTGCGATGGTGACGACACGGCCGACACAAAAGATGCACACTGCCACACCAGAACCCTGTCAGCAAGTGCAACACAACCAACATCTGCAGCAGCAACAGAACCACGACCACCACTGCCAACATCACTATCTCGAGCTTGTTGAACTTCGAAGCCATAACTTGCGTGCCGAGGCTCACATTCGTTCCTGCACCCTATATGTATTTTTTTTTGAGCACTGTATGCCAGTTGAGAGGCTTCCAAAAAGGCCTATCGGAAAACTTTCGATATCTCAAAACCCAGCGGCACCGGACTCTTACTCCTGAAACCTCTGTGGAGCAGCCGTATGGCTAACCTCACCACGCATCCGAACGATCAATCACCCAATAACCCGAAACCGATACTTAAACCCAAAATGTTACAACCCCCATAAACCCGAAATCCAACGAGGAGCTTTCCGGCGGCGGCGCGGCCTTGGCTTTCGCCTGAGCCGGTGCCTGAGATTGCCGCGTCCACGCGTCAGGTTTCGACTCTCGGGGCTTGGGATTCGGGGCTTCCACCTGGGCTGCGAGATCCTACAAGTGCCTCATAAGCATTTCGTCGTTTCTTCCGAAGAAAGGCTGATGCTTTCGATAGGTTTAAGTTGTTTAGGTTTAGCGATGCATCACGTCCCAATGGGGCGCCGACGGTTCGGGCAAGCTGGCGACCGGCTGATCTGGTCTGGTGGCCCTCAGCTCAGAACCTCTTCACAACCAGGTCTTCTCACCGAAAACCAAGCCAAGCATAAAGCCTGTTCCGGCCAAATCTTGGTGATCGTAAATCGGCCAGCTGCAAACCTGGACAAGAATATCGTGGAATGCCCAGCCCCATGAAAGAAACATCTGTTGCAGCACCAGGACAATGACATGTACCCCGAGCCTGCCTGAGCCTGCAATTCTGAACGGTCATAACCTTGCACTCCCGGCCACAAGATAATGCATGAGAGCTACACCGGCGACAGGCTTTGGCGCGCCGCAATTGTTGCACACGTCCTGAGTTTCTGTTGCAAGGTGGGCATGAAAACTATTTTTGTTCTGAGACCGCATATGAGGGTTCAAGTTCAGGGTTGATGGTGTGCAAGGCGAGTAACATAATTTGTATACTATCATACACTGTAGCGTACTTCTTTCTTTTCCCTCTCGCATGGCTGAGATCTATGCCCACAAGCGAGGTTTGCTTGGTTGAACAGACTATGCGGAGCTCGCACAGCAAAATACCTCCTCGACACCTAGCCCAAAGACTGTAGTGTACTAGCTTCTAACAGGCTTTAGATCAATCGGCACTGCCCCACTATTTCTTGAGCGGTCCGTTTTGGCGATCCGTCAAGTTCCCATCTGCTTTTTACATTTATTCAAGCCAGCTATATGAGATACAACACGCTGCCTACCTAGTATGCCGAGGAGTGTTTTAATCCGCAAGGACCGAGAGTTCCAGTCCCTTAAAGAACCCTTATAGAGTCCCAGACCCCTAAACCCTAAACCATAAACCCTTATAGAGTCCCAGCACCCGGCCTGACCTTGAGCCGAGAGGCGCGCGTGGCCTTGTTCGGCTCCTCGCACTTTGGGCAGATCCATTTTGCCGGGGGCGCCTGTGCCACGGGGCTGCTGTGGCTTCGGAAAGGCCTTCGTAACATCAGCAACTTTACTGCGAAAACCTGGCAGCCTTGCAGCGGTAAATTCAAGAAGGATGAATGCAGGGGGTAAGACCTGGGCAAACATGTGGCAGGACCCTACAATGTGTCAACAACGTCTGTCAAGCATCGTTGTGCGGACAGCCGTCCTTGCTTTTACATTCGTCGACGAGGTCACTGTACTGACTGCATGGTGGATTTGTGGGAGCAGTCCAAAACAGTAAAGAAAGATAAACACAAGAAGCTTACGAGAAAGGTCAGCATCTGGACAACACCATGCGACACTCATCAAACCCAACCGTCGAGGCCGCCAAGGTAGATCCCAATCCCCCTAATCATAAAATGGTTTAACTTCAGCACTGTACCTGCGAGGACCCTTCGATATGCAGCGGCCTCTTCTGGAATGTCGTCTGCGGCCGTATCTGCTGCCTCGACTACTTGTGTGGGAATGCGTCCGGGTGCACAAGGTCAGCTATGGGCCTGGTCATGGAGTGCTCTTCCGGGCGATCATCTTAGTTTTCTTGATTTTTATTCTGTCGTCATTTCTGATGGTAAGACGATCCAAGCTTAGCAACACTAATTGCATAACGGTTGATCAAACTTCCTTTGTCCGAATGTAGACACTAGCTGCGACCATTCTCTGGGCCGATCTCTTCGTGACAGCCCACGACGGCTCATAAGCAGCCTCGATAACCGCTAAGTTGGATTAGGTGTTCATCAGCAGTGGCCCGCTAGCGTTTCGGCCTTCGTGGGTATTCAGGCCTGAGCTGGGTCAACGACCTGAAGCTTGACATACATCTCCAAGCAGAAGGATGGTTTATCGTCGTACAGTCCTGCTACGAAAGGTTCTGTGTTTGCCGGGTTTCCTTTATGCGCGGTTTCTACTTGATGATGGTGTATGTAGTACTGCAACTGGCCTCTTCCAATTATACAGCGGTTTCCACAACTGCAAAATTCCTTAGCATATGCAGGGTTCCGAAGCACTGCGTTTCAGCAAGCGGTGTTGGCAGTGCACTCTCTACGCCCGTATACTAGTCGCTGAATGCGCAAGAACGAAAACCGCTTATTGTGCAGAACTGGAAGTATATAAATGCACGGACTATCAGCTTAACAGCAACAGAGAGCACCCTCACAGGTACATGAGGCTCAATACCCTGAAGCCCCATCCTGTGGCAGCCTCGAGAAACCGCACGCACGAGCCCCGACTTCATTCCGAAAGCGCTNNCCCCCCCCCCCCCCCCTTTTGGCGCCTGAGTTTCTGAAGAAAGCTTCGTGGATGGATCTTCTCTGGCAGAGGACTCCTCCTTCGCAGGCTGTTCCTGCTGCACGGAAGCTTCCTGCGTGTTGCAAGATCCCTCCTTCAAAGAGGAGCCGTCTGCCGCAACGGAGCCCTCTTTGGCAGAGGAGTTCTCCTTGCTGGAAGACTGCTCCTTCGAAGAATCCTCCGGAGCAGGGGGACCATCCTTGGAAGAGCCTTCTGATTCCTCTTTACCAGGAAGCTCCTTGGAAGGACCTTCCTTGGAAGAGGGAGCTCCTTGCACCGTGTCCGTCTCCCCCACAGTCTCCTCGCCTTTTCCATTCACCTCGCAAACGCAAACTGAAGTTCTGGTAACTGTGGGGACTGGGAGATGTGGACAAGGCGTTTCAGTGTTGAGATTTAGGGTTTGCGATTTGTGGCCTCGACTTGTGTCGAACCCACAAGCCGCAAGCCCAAGTAAGCGGCTTCGCAGCGACACTTGGCGTCACTTACTTGGGTGTTGCCTTGCCTCTCGTCTAGAACTGTGTCTACTGTCTTGTTTTTCATTCTGCCAAACCTGCTCCAGGCACTCCTGGCACAAAGACAAGGAGTGCTGTTCTTTTGCCGCCGGACGTCCCAGACATTCCCAGACATGACGCTTGAGCCCTGAACCATGGCACGTGCCATTAATGCAAGCATCGAATCAGGCTCATAGTCTGCCCTCATGACGAGGCGCTATAGTCACGCACACAGCCCAACGGCAGCATCAAACAACCGACGTTGCCACACCTTCAAAACACCGTCGTGACAATCACACCCACCACCACCACCACTAACACCACC